AGTGGCGATAATAAGAGACTAGAACCGCTAAAAAATCACAAAATAATGGTTATTTCTCGCACATAGGTCCACTTGTATTGGAGATAACTATCATATTAATAGACTTGTAGTAGAAACTAACTAAACAGAGGAGAAAGCCAATAAAAAAGTATGAACTTTTTTATAACATCATTTTTTTAGAAGCCGGGATGAAATTATATAAAAAGCACCATGAGACCAAGAGGCTAACATGGAGAGGAGAGATATTAAAGCTTCAATGTAAAGTAACAACTAGCAAAGAGCGAGTATAGAACTTAGAGAAAAAAGAGAAAAACACGATAACGAAGAGTCTCCCAACACAGTGAGAACATGTTCAAAGCCCGATTAAGTGCAAAACACAGAGATAAAAGGTAGGGGCTTCGAGTGGCTAAAGAAAAATTTGGAAAGCAACAAAGCATTATTTTATAGATTTTAAAATTCAAGCATACCAAAATCTAAAAAAAAAAAAATCCCTTGAAAAAAGATTCAAACAAACGTCAATTGAAGGAGATAAACAACCGTTGCATTTTTGGTATTTTCCAACTAAAATCAAGGGCAAAACCTACAACCATACAAAGGCAAAGATATACTTAAAGATCCAAAGAGTAAGTTGCAAAGAATTATCTTACCTGTATTATGTGCTACAAGAAACTCTTTAAATAGAGTTTTAGAGTTACGAGAGATAAAGATGACTATACACTAGAGTTCTTGTTACAATAGGTTATTGTAATGGATACAACTTCTAAAGATTATCTTGACTAAATCTAATCCTTATCATCCTCTCTCAAGCCGAGCTGCTAGAAGCACGATCGACTTGATGACTCGATGGAGATGTTGTCGTTTTGCAAGGAATTTAGTCGGGATATCGCCTAGCCGATCTTTGGTGGAGATGTAGCGCACTTATAATTCCTTTTTGCGAACTTTGTCCCGAACAAAATGGAAGTCAATCTCCAAATGTTTAGAGCGAGCATGAAAGACCGGATTGGCGATTAGGTAGGTAGTGACAGATTATCACACCAAAGTGTGGGTGTAGTTTGTAGTGGGAAACCAATTTCACGCAAGAGGGATTGGAGCCATGTGACCTCGCAGGTCGTTGTAGCCAAGGCCCTATACTCCGCATCGGTAGAAGAGCGAGCTACTGTTCTTTGCTTTCGTGAAGTCCAAGAGATAAGATTAGTGCCAAGAAAGATTACATATCCCGTTGTTCTTTTCCGATCTATGATGTCACCCCCCAATCGGCATCGGTGTATGCGAGAGATGTGATGAGAGGAGGAAGGGGTGAGGAGCGGACCATGAGTCGGTGTGCCTTTGAGATAGCGTAGGATACGCTTAACGGACACCCATTGTTCGAAAGTGGGGGTATGCATAGATTGAGCAGCACGATTGATAGCAAATGATACATCCGGCCGCGTGAGGGTCGGATATCGTAGCCCACCAACAATACTCCAAAATAGTGTGGGATTGTCAAATGCGGTAGTGTACGTGATGGGGGAACGTAAGTCGCCGGGCGTGACCATGGGCGAGGCATCCTACATATTTGCTCTTTTGAGAAGATCCCGAATATACCGAGATTGGCACAGGTGGTAATTTGGGTGAGCCATAAAAGATAATTTGTGGAGTTAAGTTTAAGAGAAAGTTGGTGTTGGACATGAAGAAGAGAAGTGATGTGTGTGATTGCTTGGTGGGGAGACTCTATTGGAAGTTCGGTGGATTTGGAGGAGGAAGATTCCGTCATGGTAGGTTCGTATGTGATTTAGGTCGGAGGAATGAGACGATGAACGATAACGCGTCGGGGAAGGAAGGTGCTAAATGGAGATGATTTGGATAGTGACGATTTAGGAGGCGAGTGTGTTTTGTTTGTGATTGGTGGCTAGTATGTCTGGGGTGGTATATTGATTTGCAAGGAGAAACGAAAAAGTGCAACGAGTAGCACGCTGGAAATGGGAGAGAGCGAGAGAGGAAAAAAAAAGAATGAAAGGGAGAGAGGAGTTTTGGAGCGATGGTCGTTAAGCTTAGTTTTGCTCGATACCATAAAGATCCAAGGAGTAAGTTGCAAAGAATTATCTTATCCGTATTATGTGCTACAAGAAACTCTTTAAATAGAGTTTCGAGTTACAGAGATAAAGATGACTATACACTAGAGTTCTTGTTACAATAGGTTATTGTAATGGATACGACTTCTAAAGATTATCTTGACTAAATCTAATCCTTATCAATACTCACACATTCGTGTATCTATATATTGACAACATTTCTATTTAACACAAAAACGAAATCACAACAAAAGAAGAAGAAGAAGAAGAAGAAGAAATTCTTGCCTTTGCTTTCTCTTGTCTTTCTCCTTCAGCTTCTACTTTTCCATTTGTTTAATGCCAATGGCTATAGGTATACTCGATCCAACTCCTTCGAGCTTCTACTATATGATTGGTTTTTAGGTTTTAGCATGTAATTACTAATATTATGGCACAATTACAAACTCAAAAAAATTATATTGTTACATTCAAAAGAAAAACAAATGTAATTTACTTCGTAATAAGTAATTAAGAACTATTAAATAATTTTCTTTAATGTGCTTTAAAACACTATCTTATTTTTTTCCCGTAATTTAGCTATTTTCTCCATAATTATTATAGTTACAAAAAATTAGGTATCATTTCTTGTCACCCGAGAGAATATAAAAATATATTATTTAGGATTCATTGGCTTCTCTATCTTTGTATCTTATGTGTATTCTCCCGTATGTCATTTTAAAAATTCTTCATTCCGAAATATCCTTAATTATAAATTCATATTTTCTCTTATATACTCTAAACCATTAGAAGAAAATTTATTTTTTAAAAGCCTAAAAAAATGGAAAAGAGGATGCTTTAAAACATTTAAGAAAAATATGAAAATGCCAAGAAAAAACCCATAAAATTATTTTTTTAACCTTTTGTCTATTTTCGCTTTATCAAGTTTTGTTAAGTTTTTGAAAATTAATTTTTAATTTTTGTATGTTTATTATTATTATTATTATTATTTGGTGTTCTAAGTTGCATTTTAATCCTAAAAAATAGTGGAAAGGTATATTAGAGAAAATATAAATATGTAAAAACATATAATAGTAAAAAAATCTTAAAAAATTACATAGATGAATATGCATAATATGTAAGGATAAATAGATAGATGAACCTGTTCAAGTTGTAAAAAAAATCATATTTAAGTAATTAAAAACTAATGACTATTTATACTTATTACATCCTAAATATTATCTTATTATGTTGTAAACTTGAGGGCACTATAATAATAATGGTTTGAAGCTTGTCTAATAGTTCATTGCTATTATTGCAAAAATAAGATACTTGAGGTACGTCTTGATGAATCTATCATTGTTCTGAAAAATTATTGAGCAGACCTATGGATTATAAAAGCATTTTTTATGCAAAATTCAAATTTTTGTTTCTGGCCCACTTTTGTTTGCAAACAATCAGACAAAAAAATTAAACAAATGCACCAGCCGGGAATCGAACCCGGGTCTGTACCGTGGCAGGGTACTATTCTACCACTAGACCACTGGTGCTGGATGTTTATCTTTCGCAAGAAAAAGTTTTAACTTACATAAATTCAATGAATTTTCTCAACAACGTTTAGTGATTAATACAGTTGATTTAGCAGAGGATGATGAATGTAGAATGAATGACTTGAATATACATAGACTTCCTCTTCGTAGAAAAGTGGAAAGAGGGAAGGTGTTTGAGAAAAGAAATGACATCTTCTTGGATTGGGGAATGACAGGTTTGATTCTTATTATACCCAACAAATTGTGGAACCTGACACATTAGTTTTCAGTTCTTAATGTAGTGGGTGCTGTCAACATTATAGAATGTGGTTGTCGGGAAGGCAAAGAATGGAAGGGAAAAGAAAAATCCCATGATGGCTATAATGCAGTCCAGTCATGTCGTGTGTGGACCATGTTGCATGCCAGAATCACTCTCTCTTTCTTTATTGTTACTTTTAAAGTTTTCTTTCCTCTACCTTTTTGTTCTTTTTCGTAGAGGTCAAAAAAATCTACTCTTTCTAATCTACTTTGTAAAGCACCAAGGTAGCAACTTGGTATTAATATAGTATCAGATCATCCATTGAAACCGAAAACAAGAAATTAAATATGACTGAAGGGCTATATTTTTCAAGAAAGGTTTAGAAGTTTTTTTTTTTTTTTTTTTTTTAAAAAAACATCAAATGCTATTAATGCTCAATGTTGTTTCATTTAATTTAGTATTCTTATTGTTTAAAAATTGTTTTTTTTACGAACAAGTTGTTGGCTTATTAATAAACGAGTTGGTTTCGGATAAATTTTTTTTTTATCAATACATAAGATTCAAATTCTAAAATTACATTTGTTGAAATAAGTTAAAACTTTTTTTTTTCATTCCGAAAATAATTAGTTTTATTTTAAATATGAAATGATGATACTTGAATGAAGCTAAAAAAAAAAATTATTTTTAAAATTTTTCATACAAATGAAGAAGGTTATTAATTATTATATCATATCAATATCGTTTTATTATATTTCTTAAAAATACTTTTTGATTAATTGTATTTAGATAATTCAAAAAAATAATTAAGATTTTTTTCATAAAAATACATCATTTAAACTTTTGATGAGATAAGTATTTTAAAACATTTATAAAAATAAATAAAAATAAAAAGTAAAAAATTTGGGCATATGGTCCTTTAGCTTTTGCTTTATAAGGAAACATTATAAAGTTGGAAGAGTTTAAGGAAAGATAACTTTTTATTTTTTTTCATCGGAACTTTATGGATTTCGGAATATACTATGAGAAGTAGCTTTTTTTTTTAGGAAAAAAGAAAAAAACTTGCTTGTGTAATAAATACGAATTTTTCCAACCAAAGGAATTACTACTAAACTTAACAAAACTTTAAACATTACAATAAAGTTAAAAAGGAAAGAAGGAAAAAGAAAAAAAAATCTTGACAAGATACTAAAAGTGCCTACAAGTTGGAAGTGGAGGTCCGCACAAACCAGGATTGTCCTTGAATGCAGACACAGGAATAGTGGCTTTGTGTGGAGGAATCCTGCCTCTCAGTTTGTTACTAGACACATCAAATTGTTTCAGCTCCTTCAAATTTAGCACAATATTTGGAATAGAACCAGTCAGCTTATTTCTTGAAAGTAAAATTGTGGACAACTCTTTGGCATCACCAAGCTCCTTTGGTATCATCCCAGACAGCCCAGTATTCACTAGCTTCAAGACCTGCAATTCTCTCATTTTCCCAATTGACTTTGGTAGTGATCCTCCAAGTGCGTTGTGTGATAGAACTAATGAACTAATAGAAGCCATTGCTGGTCTCTCTCCTATGTCATCATCAATTGGACCAGTGAACATATTGTTGGAAAGATCAATGGAGTTGAAATGGCCTAGTGGTTCTTGGACTTCTTTAGAGAATATTACATTTAAGTGGCCAGTGAGCTTGTTGGAGTGAAGATCAAGATCCATCAGAAGCGAAAGGTTCTTGAATTGAACTGGGATTGATGAGTGAAAACCATTATTAGATAAATTCAGAAATGAAAGGCTTGTCATGTTACCAATCCACCAAGGCAGTTTTCCAGTTAATGCATTGCTTGACAAGTCAAGTTGTGATATTGACGATGAAGATAGCCAGTGAGGAAGCTCCCCTTCAATCCCATTCTTTGCCAACATAAGCTGAAAAACTTTTAATTCCTGGAACCATTTTGGTAGTCTAACTAGTCGGAAAGGATTATAGGAAAGATCTAAAGTCTGCAAGCTCTTCAACTTAGCTAGCTGAGGAGGTAGCCGACCGGAGAGTCGGTTTCTTGATAAATCAAGCGTCTGGAGGTTGAGTAAGTTTCCAAAACTTGAAGGGATTGTTCCTGTAAGATAGTTATTAGAGAAAAATATATCAGTAAGTGTTGTTAGATGACCAATGGTTGAAGGTAGCTTTCCACTGAGCTTGTTGTTCTCAAGGATTAGCCTTTGAATCTTTGAGAGCTGGCCAATTGATGCTGGTAAACTGCCTCTTAACTTGTTTTCTGATAAACGACAGAATGTCATAGAACTAAGTCCAGATATCGAAGATGGTATCCTTCCTTTGAGCTGATTTTGATTTAGATATAGTAGTTCCAAAGCAGCGAGTCCACCAATGGACTGTGGAATGCTTCCAGTTATCTGATTTTCAGATAGATCAAGAAATCTGAGATTCTTAAGGTTGCCAATGCCTGTAGGAATTCTACCAGTAAACTTGTTACCATGTAAATCAAGCTTAGTTATCAAAGCCAGCTTGCCAATTGTAGGAGGAATTGGCCCTGACAAAGCATTTCCTGATAAACCAAGTTCTGAGACAGATGTCCAGGATTTCGTAACAGGTGGAGGAACAATACCAGATATTAAATTGTCACTAAGGTATATCTTTTTCAGCTGAGATAAGTACCTTAACGTAATTGGTATTGATCCAGTGAGCTTGTTTGTATCAAGAAAGAGATGTGTAAGCTTTGATAACTTGCCAAGTTCCTGCGGTATTGGTCCCTTCAAGTCCTTGAGATTACTCAGGTCTAGAAGTTGAAGACTGGACAAGTTTCCCAAATAAGGAGATAAAGTTCCTGACATGTACGTGTCCTCAATGAAGTCATTGTCTGACACAAGACCAGGACGAGATACATTGATAACTCTGCCTGAGGCATCACAATCAACACCTTCCCAAGAACTGCAGCAATCAGAGGAAACTGTCCAAGAACGCAACAGTTTTGATGGGTCATATGTGATTTTGTGTTTGAAATCAAGTAATGCTTCTTTATCAACTAGGTGGCATGCCTTGGAATGGGCTAATATAGAGAAGATGAGAAAGAACAGAAGTGAGAAGCTTTGGGCATGTATTGAAATCCCCATTGGAAGTTTTGAAACTGTAGTACTGAGGATTGAGGATCTGTTGCTAATTAATTAGCGAGGAGAAGAGGTGGTCAATAGTGTGATGCTCTTGGGTTCAATTTAATAAAAAACGGGAAAGTGCAAGGTTGTGCAGAGTATGAAAAAGGCCGTGCCCATTCTCCTGGGATCGAGTTAATTAGCCCTCAAAGTCAGAGGATACGCATTAAAGCACCTGACGTATGCTGCAATAACTACGATACATAAATGGCTTGGTGATTCGTCTAACAGTGGAAAACACTAACGTAATGGATTTTTTTATTTTCTTTACTCAAATTGTCTACTGCTGTGCCCATACATGAATTGGTAAGTTCTATGACACAGCACTTTTACATTTTAACCAGTAAATAAAACATTTAAGCCTCATTAAATTGGATTGAAGAGAGAGAGAGAGAGAGAAGTAAAAATAAATAAAGGAAGCAGTCCCATTTGCTTACAGGGATGGCAATTTGCCCTGTCTTAAAGGAGTTTTGGCGACTCTGACTCTCTTAGTCCCGATCAACATAAGGATTTCTCAAGTTGATTAGAGAAGCTGATTGGAGAATAGGATGGAGCGACCGGTCCCATAATGAATTTAAATGATTATAGGTGAAAATGGTATTTGCATGCATTGCTTTTTTTAAAAAAAATTACAATTATACATAACATATACATAAACTCTGAAACTATAAACTAATTTTTAATATAACAAGTGGGTTTTGATAATCTTTAAGCAATAAAGACATGTAAGAGTTTTTGTTTTTAATTATATTTGTGATACTTCATCAGTTTAATTAAGTATATTATTTGCTCAATTGAAAATAATTTAATATATTATGAGTTATGTTATAAATTTATAATTTAATATAAAATTAAATTATTATTTTTTTAATTATATTTTTTATATATATTATTATTTTTTTATTATAATTTAAAATTTAATATAAGATAATATGAGATAGAATGAGGTAGAAAGGGTGTAAAAAATTAAACAGTTGCTGGGTAATAGTCACACCATTACCATCGAATGACACCTCAAACTAATAGTTTGTCTTCAACAGCATACCTTACCACCTATTGTTGACTGTTAGGAGCTTTCTTTCATTGGTCAAACCTCCAGCAAGCCAAGTTCAAAAATTTCCGCTAATTTTGACTGAGACACGAGCTTTCTTTTTAGATCAGCTATTACGCATGTGAACCTGTGTTTGTCTTATTTTCAATCCTTTCCATTTGGCTATATGTTCAAAGCACTTGAACTTTTCTTGCTGTCCTACAAAGATGACCCCGAACAATTTATTTACAATTTTCTTTTTATGGGATTTGGATATTCCAGCATAAAGTCATATGATTAAATTACTTTAAGAAGAATCCTAATAGCATAATTACCAAATTGTTTATAATCCTTAGGAAACAAGCAAAAAAATATTTATGTTAAAGATAAGGAAGATGCTGGTCACGAGTTTTGTAGTCTTGTTGACTCTTTGCATGATTGTCATTTACATATTCATGATTTTCAGTTGGTGGGAGGTGAGCAGGGCGGTCCAGTCCATGATTGAAGTGATAAACACTGATGCAATGCAGGTTGGGGTTTGTGATTGGATAGGCTAAGACCCAGCTTGTTGCCATGAATACATGAACATGAGTGGGCACATACACATTTGTTGTTGCATGTAATATATATATATATATATATAGCAGCAGCTACTGCTACTACTACTTTCCTTTGAGATGGGAGGCATTGTGACCTGGATTCCAGTAAATTGGAGTAATGAATGTTTCTCTCCATTTTTATTGGATTTCCCCGAGGGTATGAATGTTCGTGCCCATCATGATAAATCATGTGGAGTTAGGAGATAATCAGGAGAGATTATTATACACCTATTATGTTTATAGATTTTAGCTTAATTCCAACCATCATGTCACGGGTCTACCCATTATTATTATTATTTTCAGGTTCCATGCGTCCATAGAATTTAATGTTTGGATGGAAAAACACATCATGATTTTTCAGGATTAATGGCAAAAGAATTGTCACGTGACACATCACCACAATTTACGACGTGAAAAAGACAAAAAATATACAAAAAAAAAACAATTGTTAAATTTCTTCCAAAATGAGGGGAAAAAAAAGAATATCAGTAAGGTAGAAATCCATCCATCCTTGTTTCAATACCATAACCTTTTTAATTAGAAAGTCTAGTAAGGCTTTAAGAGAAAATGGTGAGGGAAATGCAAGAAAAAGAGAACAAAAAAGCACAAATGAGGATATTTATCACTAAAATTCTGCAAATGACCCTTCTTCTCCTCACCAAGTTCTTCCATTCACCCTCATTTTTTAGCTTTTTAATTTATTATGCATTTTCTCATTTAGAGAGAGAGAGAGAGTAGATGGATCATTTCTCTTGTCCTTGGCTCTTCTTTAATTTGGATCAAGGAGGATAAAGGAAAAAAATACTAAAATCTATCGGATAAAGGAGTCTATTTTTAATCCGAAGGGTTGTTGGAATAATTCTTTGAGGCCCAATAAATCATTGTATTCACAAAATAACACGACTAACTTGGCTCCATAATTCATGATGTTTGTGAATACAACTTTTCCTCAACATTCCTAGACATAAAACTCTCGACCATTCCATAACCGACAAAGGTCATTAAATCTAGATAATCGATGAAACACAAACCGTAGGAAATATAAAGAGTTGTTTCCTTTTCTGCCATTTCACTTGGTGATCTCTTTAAACATCTTCGTGTCTATCGATCAAGTAACTTTGGAGATCATTCTTTTATTGCAACCCCTATTTCCTTATTTGTATGAGCCTCGATGAATCATACGAGTACCATAACGAGATCAATGGTCATAGTATTGAATTTTTTTTTGGTTTCAAGAAGAGAGTGCGAAGGTTGATTGATTAAGGCTTGATCACATCCGAGAATCTCTTAAGTCTTCAAACACAAATTGTGCAATTATTAGGGGAGTGAATGCATTATCATTAAATGAAGTAGGGTGTGATGAAAAGAGGTCAAACTTGAAAGTCTCTATGTCTTATTTATTTGATATGATGAGTGTTGCTGGCTTTAAGGAAAAAAAACCTATAGCAGTCTCAAACTCCTACTCATGCTAAGTACTTCGTAGGTTTCATAAAGAGAGTGGACACAATATTGACGATTTTCATAAATTTTATCAAGAGTTACAAACCATGCTAGCTCCGGCCACCTTGAGATAGAAAGGGAGGAAAAGAAATCAAATGAGTCTTCGGATATTGCTAATCTTCGAGGTAGCAAAGACTTGAGTTTGACTCAAATATCTCATCATATGGCAAGAAACATTCCGTGGATAGAGAAAGCTAGTATTAAAAATCCAGTCATACAACTTGGGTTAGTAATTGATAGTCCGTAAATGATGTTGTTTTGTTAACACACTCGAGGATATATTTGATGTTGGCTAGCTTGTGCATAAGACCATCCGGGAGAAGAAGTTGAATGACCGATTTAGTGAAGTAAGCATTTTTTGTTTTTAAGGTCAAGTAATTTTCTTATCGCAATTTTCTTTGTCTTTCTATCATTATAGTTCATGAATGCATTGTACATAATCATTATAATGATTTCATAATAATGTTAATTTACGGGATCATGTAAATTTTATTCTTAATTACCATCTTTGCCTTCTTTTTATTATTTCATTCTTATCCTATCTTTGGGACATTCAACGTGATCATATTTCAAAAAATAAAAAATAAAAAAAATAAAACAAAACAAAACAAAAACTCAAAATGATTACTCTAAAAATCAGCCTAACTTTAATTAGAATGGATAAAGAAAGGCAAAATGGGAATGAACATGACGACAAATGTGAAAGGAGCACACAAAGCCGATCAAAACAAACACATCTTGATTTTGAGAATAAGATCCTTATCTTCCATCGATTTTTTTTTGAATTTTATATTCGAAAGTGTTACAATTTTTATGGATTGGGTTGTTTTCGTAAAAAATAAAATTCTATTATCTTGGCATGATTTATTATTTATTGAAATTAAGAGATGTTTTTTTGAAAGTATCATTGTTATTTTCTATAATCCAAATCAAAATAAATTAGACAAGAGAAATACATTTGGATCACATGAAAGTTTTAAAAAGAAACCATCTCTTTTGAAAGGTGATTTATTAGAAATTAGCTTACGGAGAGCGACATGCCATAATGGAATTCATGAACTTAAAGAGTTTTGAAGGAAGTCGGGCCCAAGTAGGCATTCTTTCCTAGAAAGACTTGGATCATTTCTTTCTTCTTCTTAGTTACTTGATGAATATTCATGATTTAATGTAATAAATGATGGTACATACAAGTCAATTTTCATTCAAAAACATTTTTCTTCACCTCATTTGAAGCTAGAACTCATCAACACAAACAAGCCATCTTTGATCGTAAAGGGCTTTCACAAGCATGTAATAAAGTTTAAGTCTTTAGCTTCGAAAGAAAGGATATAAAAAGCTCAAAATGTGTTTGAGGACATAAAGACTTAGGATCATTTGATCATTCATCGAGATTACTTTAGGCATGCCGCCTTGACTTCGTCACTTTCATAATTAGTTTCACTTGTTACATCATTTAATGCTCACAAAAAGTATCATACTAGGCATGTCGCTATGACTTTATCATCTTGTCAATTAATCTTTAATTTTCTAATCTTAGCTCTCCTTTCATGCTCACTCTTGTCATTTTTTGTTGGGAATTTCTAATTCTTTATAACTTTAAATTATGAGAGGAGTCACCCTAGATAGCACCTTTTTTTTTTTTTTTTTTTTTTTTTTTTTTTTTTTTTGTCTTAGTGCTTTTCACTTTTAGGTTTTATTTATTTTTCAATATCTTAGTTTTATTTGAAAACTATGATTGACTATAGAGAAGTGCTAGATAAGGTGGGATCATGACCCGAATATGTAGCAACAATTGTCATTTAAAATATCAAATAACCTTATTTTTTTATCTTTAG